ACGGGTAGACAGCCAGGCTAGCCGTACTTAAGGACGGCTAGACTGTCAGTCTAGCCGTACTTAATATTGATGGCTGAATTGTAAATGAAATTTTTAGTTTGCAATGCCTAAAGTATTTGTATTTCAGACAAAACCAAAAGGTGCCTTACTGACTTGCATGTAGTTGAACCTGAATAATTACTAGATCTAGATCTGAGACCTGTGTACTTAACAGGCTTGAGTCGATAGGGCCAAACCTAGATCTAAGTACGGCTAGACTCTCAGTCTAGCCGCTAGCCACTTCGTTGATAAAACACTAGATCTGGAAACTAGATCACGCATTCCAAACGCGAGGTGCCGGCATGCAAGAGGCGCGTGATCGCTAGGCGGCATGTGATTGGCTGCCTATAACCAAATAGGTCACCGATGACTACATCGCGAGTTTTCCCGATAGCGCTTTACTGAGTTTTAGAAGGGGTGATCGCGTCGCGATAAAAACGATGTCACGCAATTCAACAAATTTCACGCTTTAAGATCCAAAGACATCGAAAAAGTGATAGCAGAAGTAGATTCTGCACTAAAAATCACATGGAGATGCCAAGTTCCATTCATATGCTCCAATTCATTATATGAACAGTTTTTCCTCAAAATACATCAAAACATGTCCCACATTTTGGTGATTTTTTCCTATATGAAGGTCTTCCAACATTTTGCAAACAAAAATCCCAATTTTTAAAAATTTAAAAACCATAGTTCTTAGAATTTACTCTATTTTCAAGCCCATTTTAAAGTAATTTGGATAAAAATTTAATTTTTCATTGTCATTGCTAATCAAATTGATAAGGAAGAGGCTAGCCGTACTTAATGACGGCTAGACTGCCAGTCTAGCCGTACTTAATAAGTACGGCTAGACTACCAGTCTAGACCAGCAGCCGTACTTAATGACGGTTAGATAGCAAGAATCCTATATCAATCTATATTATAATAATATTGGGTGAAGCTACAGCGAGCATGTAGCAAATCTCTGTGATTGGCAGAAATATAGATGACATATTTCAGCCATCTATTTTTGGCGCCGCGCGGGGTTTCCCTCGCCACTTGACCAGATCTCGCCGTGGACCGCGACGCGCACACTGGGCGGGGATGCAAGGTTGGTTTCATCGCCAACTGCTTGCGGTGTACGTGTGTGCGCGCGCTTGTTTTTGTGTGTGTGTGTGCGGCGCGCTCTTTCTCCTCGCCCCTTCTCTATAGATCTCTCTCTTTCTCCTATCTCTCTCTCTACTCAACCTTCTCTCTTTTTTCCTTTTTCTCCTGCCCCCCTTCTCTCTCTCTTTCTCTCCCTCTTTCTCCTCCCCCCTCCCCCCCCCCTCTCTTCTCTCTCTCTCTCTCTTCCTCTTTCAACCCCCCTTCTCAATCTCCCTCTCTCATTCTCCCCCTCTTCTGTCAGGGTTGGGTTGATTTAGATCAGTTGATTTTTTAAATAAAAATCAGTGATTTAAATCAATTTTTGAAAAATTTATTTTTATTCAGTTTTTACATATTTCAACATTCAGAATTCCTTTCCTAGGTTTCATAAAACAGATATAAGGTTTAGTACACTAATATAATCATGCTTAAAAGTCTGCTTCCCCCCCCTTTCACTGTAAAATAATTCAGTATTCAATTTACTTTTTTTCCCCATAATTGAAATCAGAGCGGGGTTGATTTTAATTTAATCAGTTGATTTTTTTTATTTTAATCAACTTGATTTTGTGATTTAAATCACTTTTTTTTAAATGTATTGTTTTTACATATTTAAACATTCAGAATTCCTTTCCTTGGTTTTATTTAACAGATATAAGGTTTAGTAGACTAATATAATCATGCTTAAAAGTCTGCTTCTCCCCCCCCCCTGTCACTGTAAAATAACACAGTATTCAATTTTCTTTCTTTTCATAATTGAAAACCAGGTTTGGGTTGATTTAAATCAGGTCGATTTAAATCAGTTGATTTTTAAAAATTTAAATCAACTTGATTTTAACAAGAAAACTCCGTGATTTAAATCACCTTTAAAAAATGTATTGTTTTTACGTCTTTAAACATTCAGAATTCCTTTCCTTGGTTGTACAAAACAGATATAAGGTTTAGTAGACTAATATAATCATGCTTAAAAGTCTGCTCCCCCCCCCCCCTGTCACTGTAAGTAGTAAATTAATACAGTATTCAATTTACTTTTTTTTTCATAATTGAAATTAGCATTTTCTTTTTAGACAAACACAAGCGCGCACACGCACACTGTAATAAAATACAAGTTTATCTATGCATAATTACCCCCCCCCCCCCCCCCCCCCCTTTCTTTTTAGTTTGAAATTTTCTTCTTTTTTTTTTGGCTGGGGCCAGGATCCCCGGATAATAGCAGATTAAGGCTTTCTTTTGCAGTTGCTTTCGTTACCCATGAGTTAAAATAAAGACAAGACCCTCGCGCCTAAAAGAACATATTTTACGCCCCCAGAAACCCCGAGTGTCCGCAACAGAAAAAAGAAGAAGACCCGTTGAAAATGTGTAGAAAGCAATTTTTAAAAAATTTTGGATTTTTAAAAACAAAAAAACGCCGCAACGCGGGGCTTCGGTGTCTCTGTCGAAACTATTCGCCCACCCGCCCCCAAGATCTTTTTTTATCCACTAAAGAAAAGTCACGTTATTTGTTCCTTTCTGAATCGAGCCTTCGGGTTTGTTATTGCCCTTCGGCGAAACATCGGTCAGTCATGTTCCCATTTGCTCTCTGCCCTATCGAGTCACGCTCGTTTGCAGCCGCATGTCCGTCATCGCGCCCCGAATTCTCGACCGATCCCTCAGATGTCTCTCTTGCTTCATGTGAGTCGATAGCTGTCTAGTGACGGGGATAGGATACTGACACTAGACATACTATGCTTGTTGAGACAGGGAGACGCCCCCGTGGAGAGAGCGACAAACACCCGACGAGCGGGGGTGTGACCTGGGGAGAGAAAGAAAGACAGAAAACGATGGTAGAGAGACTTTCTTGCTTGTCTCACACAAACCACCAACGAAGGTATGTGTCTGTAAAATAGTCAG